CCCCGCCTGTAAAACCAGCCGCAAACTCCTCACCAAACTCCGGCCGAACCGCAGCCCCTGCTGAGGAACCTCGCTGTTTCCCCCCGCAATTTTCCGCACCGAGAACCTAACAAATCCGCACAAAACCATTTCTGGGAAGCTCGGGGACGTGGCTTTACCTCGGTGAAGCCCTCCTGAAGAATATCCAGCAGATTGCCCCTGGCCAGGCAGGCGAGCATCGTCCCGGGCGGGCGGGCGGCGGCGGGCGGGGGGCTCAGGGGATGCGGGGCTGAGCTCCCGGCGCCTCGGGGCGCTTCTCCCTCCTCTTCCTCCCGAGCACAAAGGCCGGCAGCTCATGGGGAAGGGCGCTCATGGTCCCATCTGTGCAGCCCGGGCAGAGTTGAGCCGGAGAGGCGGCTCGCTTTGGGCATGCTCGGCGGGAGGAGGGAGCAGCCCGGGCAGAGATGTCACACGGTTGTCACGGCAACGCCGCGGCTTTGCGAGATGCAGGCGCGGGGAAAACATCTGAAACCCATTTCCAGGCAAAAGCAAAAAAAAAAACCAACCCCAAAACCCTCCCCAAACCCGCTGTGTAAATGAGATTTTTCAAGCCCGCCGTGCACAGGGAGCCCTGCTTGGTGTGGGGGTAGAGAAGAGGAGGAGGAGGAGGAGGAGGAGGAAGGGAGGTGATGCCTCGCACGGGGAGCAAAGCACACAGAGAGGATCGCTCTGCAGCCACAGGAAGCTGAAAGCCAGGCCTCGACAGCTGCAAGGTTTGCAAGTTTGAACGATGCATTTTTCAATGAAAAAAAAAAAAAACAACCCAAAAAACCCAACCAAACCAAACCCGAGAGGAAACGTCCGAACAATTAAACCCCAGCTCGTTCTCTACATCAGTAAATGCACCCATCACACAAAAAAGTATCGAGTATCTCCAGGCTGCCTCTCCAAGTTGGTGTCACCTTACAGGAAGTGCCCGGGGGGAAAAGAAAAAAAGGAAAATGAAACGGGAAAGGGTGAAAGCCCCTCCAGCCAGAGGCTCTGCCCGGCAGGCTCAGAGCAGCACTGACCCCTGTGCCTTGCCAGGCATTTCGAAGTGTGAGATGCATTTAAAAATAAACATTTTTTTCCCCCCTGCCTAAGTTTTGAAGCATCCTGAGGAAAAATCAATGGCATAATTTCACTGTTTTAGCCTGTCACAGCTAAAATGCAGGAAGAGAAGCAACAGGTCACTTCCCTCTGTAACCAACACAAAAGGAGGTGGTTCCCTCTCCTCCAGTTTTAAATTATTCATGTTTGCTCTCCCTGTTTTTCATAATTCCGTGGGAGTGGAGATTTTTATGTTTTCATCGATTCTAATGCCACATCTGTTAAGCAAAACAACAGATTACAGCAAGGCTTTGCACAAAGCCTTGTAAGCTGGAGCTGCTGGGGGGTTGGAGACTTGATCCCGTTTGCTTTTGAGCTTCAAAATGCCATTAAATAAATATTTAACCCCATTCTTTAATGCAATTGAGTAGCTTATGCCTGTGCAATTCCAATAACATTTTGTGGGAAAACGAAGTGGTTCCCCCATGAGACAACAAGTGACCTAATTTTGAAGGAAAAACTGACAAAACACACTCAAAGCTTCCACTGTGGATTTAAAATGCTCTTCTTGACTACTAATTTCTTACATCTATTTGTATTTATTATATTATATATATTTACCACCTGATTTTTACGTGGCAAACACCCATTCATAGAGGATTTTTAATATAACAGGGAAGGGTGCTGAGATTTTTGGGTCAACCAAGAAGAGCTGGGACTGAAGTCTGGGATCTCTTTCATCCCATCTCCCTTTTGCAGAGCCCCCTCCTGCCCCAACACCAGCACAGCCAAGGCAAAATGTTCCAAATGTTCTCCTTTTCCCTGCCGGGATCAGGTACAGTCCTGCTCAGAGATTTTCTCATCAAAGATCTGTTTCTGCAGGAGGTTTCTTATCTCTGCCTGAATGCCAGGGAATAGAAACCAGGCTGGACATGCTGAGCCATTCTTCTGTCCATTGTGGGGACACAAATGGGGTCTGGGGTGTGTGTGCGGGCTAAAAATAACTTTTAAAAATTAAACTCCACTTCTCCCTTTGTGTTTCACTGTGAATCTTCCAGCTGCTCGTGGCGGGAGTTGTGTTTTCCTGTCAGCTTTCCACAATAGCTGCCTTTCAGTGATACATTCTCACTAAAAGGAATGATGCTTCGGAATTCTCCCTGGATTTTCCCAAAGGAAAATTCCCAAATCTCCCCAAAGATTCCAAACCCGATATCCAAAGGATGCTCCCAGCAGCTGCTCCGGGGGTGAGTGAGCTCCAAGCCCAGCCCACGGGGCGGTGGCAGTTCGGTTGGTGGCATTGCCATCTCCTGGTCACTTCCAGCACGGCCCCCAACCCTTGTCCTTGAACACTTTTGGTCACTAAAATTTGGGTTGGGGGGATAAAACCAAAAGGGGCTGGTTCAGGGATTCGCCTGTGGGGTTTGTGGCTGCGGCAATAGCCCGAAGAGCTGCTCAAAGCTGCTGCTGCACCGGCGCCACCGACCCCAAACTCCTCGGAAAGCACCCAAAAGAGAGAGAAAGGACACAAAAAAAGGCGGCTGGGAACTCACAGAGGGTGCGGGAGGCTGCGGGGGGTGACAGGGCACCGTGTCCATCAGAGTCCCCATGCTGGATGTCACCTCAGCACCCAGAGAAGGTCCCGGCACTGCTGAACCTGAGGGGAAAGGCAAATCCCGGGTACCTCTGGACATGGGATGGGTCTGGAGCACGGGGATAGCCAGGAGCAGGGCTGGGATGGGCTGTGGGACGGGAATGTGGGGACCAGGCACAGGAACAGGAGCAGGGCAGGGCTGGGGGGTGAGGAGCGGCTGGGGTGGGATGGGGAGAAATGGGGAGAGAGAGAGGGCAGGGATGGGATGGGATGGGATGATGTGGGATGCGGTAGGATGCGGTGGGTACCACCACCCGCACCCCCGGCCCTACCTGCTCCCGGTGCGCGTCTCCGGTCGCCATGGGAACGGGGGCGGGATGGAGCCGGCTCCGCCCCGGGATCGGGGGCCGGGATCGGGATCGGGATCGGGATCAGAGCCAGCTCGGGGAAGCCTTTGCCCAACCTCGCATCGCAGCCCCGGGAGCCGGACCCCGTGTGTCCCCCCAGCCCCGCAAAGCCTCGCCCAAAGTGCGGGTTTATCACTTAAAACTAAATATTGCATCTTTAATGATCCATCAACACTCGTTTGGCACACACGGCGACCGCGGGAAGTACAGGAGATTTTAATATTCAGTGCAAAACCGAGTCCTTTGGGAAAATCTCTATTGCAGAACACGTGGATTCCACAATTCCCCATGGAAAGCCTGGGAAAAAAAATCACCGGAATGGGAGCATGGAGTTGTCTCTAGCATGAGCTGTGCTTCCAGGAACGGCCCCGAGGGAGGTGTGGAAACCGGAGCTCCTCAGCGAGATAAAGAACCATTCCAGGGGCTCGGGTACTCATTAAAACAGGTAGAAAAATTGGAAGATTGGTCCTCAAACGCCTCCACCCTGGCAAACACGGCCGGGGGCAGCTTTTTCACCACGAGCAGGAACTCATTCATGCTCTTCACACCCAGCTGAGCTAGAAAACGCAGAGTTGTGTTTATAAAACGCAGTGTGTTCATAAAAGGCACAGTTTCTAAACGCTGCCCATGACCGGGGCTGCCCCCCAATCTGCTCTGCAGGCCATGGCTGAGGAGCAGAATGTGCCAGGCCTTGGTTTAGTGCCTGAAGATGTGCCTGGGGAGCCCTGACAGGGCTGCCCAGTGGCAGAAGCCGTTTGGGCCATTGCTACTCTCAATTATTGATGTTATTTGAAATCCAGAAGCAGGTTCCCAGAGGTGGAGGTGGTAACCCCACGTGCAGTGTGCTCTGTGGCACTGGGGTTTATAGCCAGGGCTGACAGCACAAAATGAGGAAAAAGTGGAGGCAAAGTCCAAAGTCCTCTCCAAAGCTGCCCAGGATTCATTCCCAGTGTCCCAGGCAGCTGCTGGACTCTGAGAACTGCCCTAAATATCGGCAGTGATTTGCAGCTAAATTGCCAATTTTCCCTTGTTTCCCTTCCAGTCAGAGCCAGGAGCTCACTCCTCCCTTGTTTGCATGGAGGAGTGAGGATGCACCTCTGAACAGCCCATCAGTGACAGAAACTGTCCTGTACACCTCCTAATTCTGCATTTCTGGCTGCCAGGTGCTGTGGGGAGCTGTAGAACCCTGATTTTGGGGGAAGGGGAAGCACACAGGGCCTGGCTGCACCTCCAGGGAAGGAGTGGAAGGAGAGCGTGCAGCAGATCCTGCTGAAGGTCTCTCCTCACAGCACCACCCACGAGTCACTCTGCACCCTCACAACTCCAGCACTGACATGAAACCCTGCTCCAAAACCTCCCTTTAGTCCCCAGTTCCCCAATTCCCAGAGCCAGCACTGGGCTGGAGCTGTGCCACAGCAGGGATTTCCTCCCTGCAGCCCTGAGCCTTCAGCAGCCCAGCAGCAGCTCTGCAGCCTCACAGGAGATGTGCTGCCAGCTCCAGGGGCAGCTCTCCCGGGGGAGGAGGCGTTTTTTGCCGGCAGAATCCGATGGGAAACTCCTCAGTGAGGATGTCTGAGGCGGGAGACGCAGCCTCTCCCAACTCTCCGACGCGTCCATGAGGTTTCCTCGCATCTACAGCTGTGAACTCCTTTTCCTACTGAAGGAGGACGACCAGGCCATCGAGTCTTTTAGACCAAGGTCCCGTTCTTGCTGTCGTACTTCAGCCTGGCCCTGGGGAAGTTGAGGGTGGCATATTCCGTGGCATTCTGCAGCTGCAGGTTCTTCACCTCGGCCGCGGAGCGCTCCGGCACCTTGGAGAAGACCTGGATGTCGGCGTAGTGGATGCTGTCATCCTGCTGCACAGCCTTGGGCTTGCTCACCGTGGCGTACACGGGGACATCTGGGACATCCTCGTACGTGGGGACCTTTTGAGAGGGGAAACAGCTCTGTGGCCTCAGCTCGGTCAGACCCCGCGCTGTGCCCAGCATCTCCCACCCTCGGACACCTCAGGGTCACTTTGGGGGGTAAAAACAGGTGGAAAGGGCCATGGACACTGTGCTGCACAGCCTCCAAATGAATCCTGAGAGGATTCATGGCTCTGAATTGCACCCTGTGTCCTCCCAGCCCACGGAGCTCTGGGCAGCTCTGTCTTCTCAACACACTTAGGAAAGAAGCCTCTGGAAAGTTATTTACCTTCCTGCCAGGCTGCTGCTGCTGAGTCTCATGCCTCACATTAGCTCCTGCAAAAGAAACACCAGGAGGTCGGCTTAAAGCAGTTTATTGTTGCACCTTGGGGTGCAGCAATGTTGTGTTGGCCCATGGGCTCTCCCCACAGAGCACAAATCAGATTTCCACCTCATCTGACTCCCTCAGCCCTGATGCTGCCCTGATGTCTCCTAGAAGAAAGCCTGGGCTTGTTCCTTTGGGAAAAATAAGGTTTCCCAGGATGCCAGCACGCTGTGGACCACAGAGTTCTTGGCAGAACCCACAGACACAGCACAGAGAGCTTCTTGTCAGGCCCTCAGAGGAGTCAGATCCACTTTTAACTTTGTTTATTTCCTCTGCTGCCTGGCAAAGACATTTTGTCCAGCACGGTCCAAAGGGCACAGGGCACAGCTTGAGGAACACACTTTATCCTGGGGAGTGTTGTCAGACAGATCTTTGCAGCTCCTGCCCTGCTGGAAAGCACTCAGCTGCGTTTTCAGGTGGGACTTGGGTATTTTTAAGGCACTGCTGAAGTCCCTTCCCTCCCCACCTCGCCAAAGCCCATGGCACATCACCCTCCTTGCTTTAAGATTTGAAGAAATGCTGCCTCAAGCTCCTCTCGAGGAAGGTGCAGAACAAAAGGAGTTTGGGAGGCACGGATGTCACCTCCCGGGGGCTCTGCCACACCACCCCTGAGCACTGTCACAGATCCTTACCTTGCTTTTCTTTCTTTCTCTTGAAAGGCGAGGGACACTTCCTGAAATCAGAGAGACACATCAGCCCTGATGGTCCCAAACCTCCCAAAACACCAACCCAAGCCACTCCTGGGGTACCACGGAACGGGACAGGCCCAAGGAGAGCCAGCAAGGAGCCACAGCAGAGCCCGAGTGACCCCGGCAAGGGAAGTGTCCCAAGGGAAGGTGTGGGGATGTGTTTGCTCCTTCTGGGACACACCCAACACACCCCACAGCCACCCCCAGCTCTCCCTGCCTGCCCTCCCGTCCCAGCAGCATCCCAAGGGATGAGAACTCCTCTCTGGAGCTCTGCAGCTCCATTTGCAGAGCTCTGCTGGGCAGGGCACGATCCCAGCTGGCACAAACCCCTTCTCTCGGGGCAGCTGCTCTGCCAGCCCCACTCCCTGGGCTTTGGCCACCCTGCCCAGGGAGCAGCTGTCAGACTGAAGGTTTCAGACACTTTTCCTGTTCTCAGTTTTCCACTCAGAACAGAACCAAACCAAACAAGCTTTGCCCTCGCTACGAGCCAAGCCAAACCCTCCTCTCAGCTGTAACTGTGTGACCAGAGAGAGACAGGCCAAGCACAGATCTGTCCCAAGAGAGGACAGGAGCCAAATTCATCCCAGCTGTAACAGCAGAGCCTGGAGCTGAGCTCCTGCAGGCTGGCACTGGCAGAGGGGACTCGTGTCCCCTTCTGGGACAGATGCAGCACAGAAATGTCACGCTCAGGGGGCTGGGGAGCAGGTGCCAGCCCTTGTGTGGCCCCTCCTGCACACACACACACCAAAGGGTGCAGCTGAGGGGCTCCCAGGGGGCTGTGGCTCTGCTCAGCAGCTCAGGCAGTGCCTTGGATGGGCTCAGGGAATGCTGTGTGTCCCACAGGGCGAGCGTTTGCCAGCCGGGAGCAGAGCAGTGCCCCAGGCAGGGCTGTGCCTGTGCCAGCTCCATGGGCAGGGGACAGCACAGGCTGTGTCCCAGCACTCCAGGGGAAAACAAAAATCCCTGGGAATGCAGGCAGAGCTCTGGAACAGCCAGTAATGATTAACCAGGCCTGGGCAGGCAAAGGCAGCTTCGGGCAAGGCAGGGTGGCCAAGGCTCCAGCGCTGCCACAGGGGCACCTCCAGCCCTTCACAGCCAAAATCTGGGGGGTTCTCCCCAGGAATTTGGGGTTTAACTCACAGCAGCAGCCCTCTGTGAGGCTCTCACAGCCTCCTCCTCCCCTGTCTGCAGCATCTCCTCCTTGCCCAGGCTTGTGTGCCAGAGCACTTCCCTTCCTCCCAGCACCCAGACTCTGTGGATTTCACCAAACCAGCACCTTCTGAGGCAATTTCTTTCCTCCCAGCACCCAGACACTGTGGATTTCACCAAACCAGCACCTTCTGAGGCAGAAGCAGCAGGGTCCCTCCCCTCTATGCTGGCAGACAGGCGGCTGGGCTGGCATTCCTGGCTGCCTCCCTTTGTGGAGGGAACATTGCAGGCAGTGTGTGGGCTGGAGCTATTCCTGTCTGCAGGATAATCACAGCCAGGCATCTCTCCGGGAATGGGGACACGTGTGCCACGGGAAATGGGAGCAGGGAAACCTCTCCCCTCCTCTCCAGAGCGGGTCAGACGTGTTGGAACTCCCAGCCTGAGAGAATTCTCCACGGCAGCACCCATGGCCCTGCTCCTACACTGCTGCCTCCCCTGTCCCCGTGCCAGGGCCATCCTGATTCCTGCCCTACACAATCCTGGGGCCTGGATTTGGGCAGCTTTCCCTGTCTGTGCACACTTTAGTGCCAATTCAGTGGTGAGAGCCTGGGGCTGGCCCTGCGCAGGGACAGAGGCACCCAGACCCGAGGGCACAATTCCTTCATCAATAACTTCCCAGACAGAATAAATTTGCTGTGACAGCTTTTCTTTAAAGACCTCAGACTGTGCCCCAGGCACCCCCTGATGGAGCCCTGGCCTGCTGATGCTCTGGGTGCCTCATTTACCCTCTGCCACAGGGCAGAGGAAATTAAAAACGGGAGTTCTGGTGGGTGACCAGCTTTCCACCTCCCACCTTCAACTCCTGTTCCAAATCCCAAACTCCTCAAGGCTCAGGGCTTGGAAGAACCTCGGTGTCCTCATCTCCTGAGCCTTCCTCCACTAGGTGATGCTGTGCCTCTTGGAATTATTAAAAACCGGATGAATTTCTCGTACTTTCAACAAACGCAGCGTCGGCCAGAGAACGTCCTCAGAGCTTCATCTGATATTCACGGCTCTTCCCCTCGCAGCACGCCCAGAGCTGAAAATATTCCCAGTTGGCAGGGGGTGATGGCCTCTCTCTGCGAGCAGGAGGAGCAGGGCACGGCAGGAGCCGGGAGGGGTTGAAGTGTCACCCTCCCACAGCATCCCAAAAACGTGGCCAGGATCCCCCGAGCCTAAATAAACCCCAGACAGACGCGGGCAGGGAGAGGAGCTGGAGTGGCTGAGGGCAGGATGGGGTGGCTGAAGCCCAACCTTGTCCCAGGGAGCTCTCCCAGGGACACCTTGTGGTGTTCACCTGCCCGGGGAGCTCTGGCAGAGGACGGCGATTTTCACCGCGGCTGAGACGCGGCCAAAAAAAACCCCCTTGTCCCGATCCTGTCCTGCCCCAGGCAGCTGCCCCGTGCTCACCTGTCCCTCCCCGGCCAGGTGCGGGGCTCGGAGCCCCGGCGAGCCCGGCACAAGGGCGCCAAGG